AGAGAGAGAGAGAGAGGAGAGAGAGGAGAGAGAGGGAGAGAGAGAGGAGAGAGAGAGGAGAGGAGACGGATAGGGAGAGAGAGAGAGGAGAGAGGAGAGGAGAGAGAGAGAGGAGAGAGAGGAGAGGAGGAGAGAGAGAGAGAGAGAGAGAGAGAGAGAGAGGCAGACGGAGAACATAGAAACAAAAGAGAGAGAGAAGAGAGTAAGAGAGGGTACGAGAAAGAAAGTAAGAGCGAGAGAGAGAAATAGAAAATAGAGGTATCTCAGGTAACAATTACTGACATCACCCATTCTAAACATCTCTCCCATTGTTAGACCAAATAAAGTTTGTAGATTTACTTAGAATCTTTCCTGGTAGTCTCCACGGAAACAAAAAATCTGGGAATTCTCGTGAGCTATTTGCCAAACAATGCTTAAGTTGTGAGGAAATATGGTTATTGTGAGGGAAAAGACGAGAGACACAACAAGTAAACTGGGTTTAATAAGGAAATAAGAGCAATTGTTTTGCATTTTTAAAAGCTGTTCTATGATAATTCTAGAAATATTTTCTGGGAAAATGTTAATAGAATTATTAAGTACGTTTGAACAAAGGGAACAAAGAGATAAAAGAGTTCATTGAAACGCAAGGAAGTAGATGCTTATATTTTGAGTTTGTGTGTGTGACTATATGGATCTGTATATATATTATGTATATATATATATATATATATATATATATATATATATATATATATATATATATATATATATATACATATATATATATATATATATACATACACACACACACACACACACACACACACACACACACACACACACACACACACACACACACATACACACATACACACACACACACACACACACACACATATATATATGAATATATATGTGTATATATGTATATATATATATATATATATATATATATATATATTATATATATATATATATATATATATATATATATGTATATATATATATATATATATATATTATATATATATATATATATATATATATATATTATATATATATATATATATATATATATATATATATATATATATATATATATATATATATATATATATATATATATATATACATACATACATATATATATAATATATATAATATATATATATATATATATATGTATGTATGTATGTGCGTTGTGTGTGTGCGTGTATGTATGTAAGTATTTATCCATTAACGTTCTCTCAGCCTCTAGACAGAACCCAGGCGCATCGCGGGACGCTCACCAAGATTACTTCTGCGTCTGTGGATTAATCTAAAGCGTAAAATTGTTCTCTTTGTGTAACTGTCTAGAGGTTCTTACGCTTCACGCCCGTTTGCTTTCTCTACCGTACCTGGCTGTTATATAGGCCTTGCGGGGGCGGGCGAGCTGGCATGTATCCTCTCAAAAGGATTTGTCATTATCTGGGGGACGTTATTTCCACTAAAGGATTTTTGGGTTTCTGTGTTTCCCTTTTTTCAGATTTTTTTTGAGGAATGTTTTTTCTTCTTCTTCTTCTTTGCTTATTTTCGGATATGTCTTTTTTTCCCCTTTCCGGATTCTCTGTATGTATTTTTTCTCCGTTCCCGGATTTTTGGGATATTCTTGCCATTACACGGATTTTTGGATATATTTCCTTATTCCCGGATTTTTGGGTGGGCTTATTTTTTCATTCTCCTTTTTTCCGGATTATAGGGTATGTTTTCCTCTACTACCGGATATCGGGGTAAATGCCTTTCTCCTTACCGAATATTCGAATGTTTTTCCTGGTAGACCTCGAACATCTGGTTATGTCTTCCTCCGGTAATTTGACTTTTTTTCTTATAAATAGTCCTTGTTATTCTAATTCAAGGAAGTTTTTGACTTGTTTTTATTCTAAAAGGTCTTTGTTATTCTAATTTAAGAAAGCTATGTTTTTGGAGTTCATCATGCATGTCGTTTCTGAGATATGCTTATCAATGATCAGTGATCAGTATAAGTGATTTTGTTATTTGCATGTTCTTATTACTGTTGCTGTTGTTATTATTATTATTGTTGTTGTTTTGGCGTTATTGTTATTGTTATCCTTACCTTTATTATCATTATTGTTATTGGTACATTATTATCTGCATCGTCTATATCATTGTCATTAATGTCAATATTATCACATTTGTTATTACTATAATTATTATCCTTATTATTATCATTATTCTGTTGTTCATTTTTTTTTACTTTACAAGATAAAGATTATCTAAGGAAATAGATTGAGTGAGACTTTCATATCAAGTTTGCAATTATCATATATCTTCGGAAACAGCTATTTTGCTAGGTTCGATCGCTCGATCGCTTTGCAAAGTTCGATCGCTATTTTGCTAGTTCGATCGCTATTTTGCTAGGTTCGATCGCTATTTTGCTAAGTTCGATCGCTATTTTGCTAGGTTCGATCGCTTTTGCAAAGTTCGATCGCTATTTTGCTAGGTTCGATCGCTATTTTGCTAAGTTCGAGCGCTATTTTGCTAAATTCGAGCGCTATTTTGCTAAGTTCGATCGCTATTTTGCTAAATTCGAGCGCTATATTACTAAGTTCGAGCGCTTTTTCTAATTCGCGCTATTTGCCTAAGTTCGAGCGCTGATTTATCGCTGCGTGAACCCAAGGAGGAAACAGTCCCAGAGATGATGTCCTGCGCTGCTTGAGTCCACAGAGGAGCAAATGAATTGTAAATTGCCGTCAGGGATTTCGAGAAAATAGGACTTTACGGATTTTAATTCACTCTTAGAAAGGGAGGTGAGAGCGACAAAGGGAGAGAGAGAGAGAGAGAGGGAGGGAGGAGGAGGGAGAGGGAGGGAGGGAGGGAGGGAGGGAGAGAGAGAGGAGAGAGAGAGAGAGAGAGAGAGAGAGAGAGAGAGAGAGAGAGAAGGAGAGAGAAGAAAGAAAGAAAGAAAGAAAGAAAGAGAGAGACAAACAGACAGACAAATTTAGAAACGAAAAAAAAAACGAAAACGATACAAA